TCTTAGCCATTAGGCCACAGGCTCTTATCCGTTATCAGCGAAGCCAGGGTGAAAGGTATCTATTAGATTTTTACAACCCCTGGTAAGCCCCAAATAAGGGAGGAAGCCAACTGCTTCCATCATCTGTCAATCGGCTCGTCACAAGAGTCCATCACGACAAGAGTCCATCACGACAGATGATTGGGTGTCTTAATTAATCAGCTGGCCTGAAATTAATCAGAATCTAATCAGTTTCACACTAAAGGTTTTTGTTTGCCTCCTTTGTAGTTTATGGCTGGCACTTCAGCTACAGTAATCCCTCTTTAACAATCATTCATTCAGCCATTGTTTGAAGTTATGATAACACTGAACAAATGATTCAAAATTATGGCTATTGTGTGCCTCTGTAGTCATGTGATCAAAAGGGCGGAGATGGGGAAGAGGGAGGGGCAGAGGGAGGAGCTGAAGCAGAGGGAACCCTGGAAGGGCAGAAGCACAAGATCCTTGCCTAAGAACCACAAGTGGGATGACTGAAACTGCTGTCACTAAGCAGTGCAGTCACATGATGTTTCACCTAATGACCTCATTGCTTAGTGATGGACATTCCAATCCCAATTAGGTTCACTAAGCAACAACTAAGTGTAGCACATTCCTTTTGATGCACCTTCCTCCTTTTGTGCCAGCTTACTCTCTCGTAATTTCTTCCTCTCCAATGAATGTAAATACAAACATCAATTCTCTTCTTGCTAACTATCCCAGTGCCTGGGTGAGCTCTCTAAAGGGCAGGAAGGGGGTAAAAAGGCTATAAGATTTGCCCTTTTGCCTGGCTTCCTCATGACTCATTTGCTGGAAACCTTCCCTACCATTTGGGCTCACCTGGCAGCTGGGGGTCCTATCCTTCTGATGCTGTAAAGCAGGGATGTCAAACATTGTCATGGTGGCGTCAGGTGATGTATCACGACTTCTCCCCCCCCACCACTTTGCTAAACCGGGCCTGGCCAGTGCGTGATGCATCTGGCTGGTGGGCCAAGAGTTTGACAGCCCTGCTGTAAAGCAAGGGGAAATCAAAGTAAAATTGTAACCACTATCACATTATTTTTTTTACTGTTTTACTTAAAGACCAAGTAGTTGGTCCCAATTGTGGTTACTAAACAAGAACTACCTGTATAATATATGGATCATTTTTTTCTTCCCATTGCATTCCTTCCCATTCCAATAAAGGGTAAATCTCTTGCTTATTTTTAATGCTGGAAGGAAGCATAGTATGCTCTTTCACAACTATGTAACCTACCATATTTTTTGGAGTATAAGATGCTCCGAAGTATAAGACACACCTAGCTTTTGGGGAGGAAAACAAGGGAAAAAAATCTGCTTCTGCCTCCCAGCAATTTGCCTCCTGGAGCAAACAGCAAGTTTCACTTTCAATTTAAGCGCACCTCCTGAGCCCCATTTTTCCCGTTTGCTGCAAGGAAGTAAATGAGGCCAAAGGTGGGGCCGGTGGGTGGATGGGGCTACATTCAGTGTATAAGACACACCCAAATTTGCACCCTCTTTTAGGGGGGGGAAAGGTGCGTCTTATACTCCAAAAATATGGTATATCCTTAATCTTATCCGTAAACATGCATATACAGAGTGGTACAGGTAGTCTTTGACTTACAATCATTTGTTTAGTCACCATTTGAAGTTCCAGTGGCACTGAAAAAAGTGACTTATGATCAGTTTTCACATTTACGACCACTGGAGCATCCCCATAGTCACATGATTCAAATTTCCCTGCTTGGCAATCGGCATGCATGCATGGTAGCTGCACTGTCCCCCCAGGGCCATGTGATCCCCATTTGCAACCTTCCCAGCTGGCTTCTGATCAGTAAAATTAAGAGGGAAGGCAGATTCGCTTAACACCACCACGATTCACCAAACTTTGACAAAAAGGTTGTGAAACGGGGACAACTCACTTAACAAACGCCTTGGTTAGCAAACCAAATTTTGGCTCAATTGCAGTTGTTAAGTCAAGACTAGCTGTATGGCATATTTCTTTTGATTACCTGTGTATTAAGATTTGAAGTATGTTGCCTACATTAAATAAGTGTGTGCCACACCACTTGATGGGCTCCATCTGATTGCCTCCATAATATCTCCATTGTAATGCTTACCTCCATATCAGCTCTCCAAAGATGACGTCCAGGAGAATGAAAATCAAATCCATCACCATCAAACGGTAGAGCTCCTGCCCCACAAAGGTTTCCCAGCACTGTGGAAAGGTAAGTACTGTTTGCATAAGAGCAGGTAGGTGAACTTCTCTCCATTTGGCCTTCCCTATCAGCTTTACAGACGTCAAATCAGAGGTGGTATACAGCAGGTTCTGACCGGTTCTGGAGAACCGGTAGCAGACATTTTCAGTAGTTTAGAGAACCAGTAAAGACCACCTCTGACTGGCCCTGCCTCCATCTATTCTCTGCTTCCCGAGTCCCAGCTGATCGGGAGGGAATGGGGATTTTGCAGTATCATTCCCCTGGAGTGTGGAGGGAATGAGGATTTTGCAGTATCCTTCCCCTGGATTGGGGAGGGAATGGGGATTTTACAGTATCCTTCCTCTGGATTGGGGAGGGAATGGAGATTTTATAGTATCCTTCCCCTGGAGTGGGGAGGGAATGGAGATTTTGCAGTATACTTCCCCTGCCATGCCCACCAAGCCATGCCCACAGAACTAGTAGTAAAAATATTTGAATCCCACCACTGAGTCAAATGAACACCGAGTAGCAGGCTAAACCAAAATTAACAAAAATGTAGCACTCAGTTCTTTGGCACCCGGTTACTTCTAGAGGAAGCTAACAATGCTTAATGCAGGATCTCTTTCAACATCTAATCCTTCAGGCCGAAGTCCCATCATTCTATAAAACTCACAGCTTCTTTGGAGCTGAGACCACCTTTTGAACAGAACAAAACTTGAAGGGCCATTGGTGCTTCTCAATTCCCATATAAAGGAGTGAATCACACTAGATCTAAAGAGCTGTCCCCTTATGCCCTTTGCCTGTGTCATCTTGGCTTGAATTTAGGAGCAAGCTGCTGAGATCATAAGAGAAGGGAATATTGAAAAGTCCTGTGCCAGAGTTTTAATTCAAAGGGAAGAGAACTGAGGAGCCTTTAATACAAATGAAAAGGCAGGGAAACGTATTGTAACTGCAGCCATATGGGAAGTGGCAGAACGCATCCATAGCAGAACTAGCAGTCAGAACACATGGCAAAAATTCTTTAATTTCACAACATATAGACAGTTATAGCCATAGTTTCAATTGGGAAAAATGTGACAATCCTAGACTAGGCTAAGTCCAAAAATGCCAGGGAATTTCTAGAAGCCTGGCTCAAAGCAGCCATCAATAGACACATAGACATTAACATCTATAAACCAGTGGTGAAATTCAAAAAAATTCCCTACCAGTTCTGGGGGCATGGCTTGGTGGGTGTGGCTTGGTGGTCATATGACTGGGTGGGTGTGGCTTGGTGGTCATGTGACTGGGTGGGCGTGGCTGCACAACTGATTCACACACAATGTAAAAGCAGCTGGACTTCACAAAAAATGTCCCCTGCAACAAGCAGGAACCTCACAGAGTCACAGAGAGCTCAAAAACAAACTGTCTCACTTTACACAAAAACAACACCAAAGCTACGCAACCGACTCACATACAATGCAAAAACAGCTGGACTTCACACAAAAAAGCCCCTGCAACAAACAGGAGCCTCACAGACAATCAGGCACAGCAGATTGTTGCACAGCTGATCAGTAGTAGAAAAAATGCTTTAAAAAAGTTTAAAGAAAAGTTCCAATGATCACCTATGTGACAATCAGCTGTGCTGAATAATTGTCGGAACTTTTTTTTTAACTTTTACTACCGGTTTGGGCGAACTGGCCGGAACTGGTAACATTTCACCCCTGCTATAGACTATGCAAAAGAGACAATCAACCAGCCCAAAAGAGAACAAAACACTCCAGCACCTCTCCACCAGTAATCAGTACCCAGATCATAGATTAACTCCAAGGTTAACTTCAGACCAACAATCAACAAACTGCCAAAGATGGCAGTAAACAGCCCAATCGAAGAATCTCTAAGACCACCCACGCCCAAACAGACAGGTAAGACACCAGAATATAAACTGACAGCAAACATCCCTCCTTAGTAGCACTGATGATGTTACCTAGTTAGGGTAATGAAACATCTGCCAGAAAACAACCAGGCTCAGGGAGCACCAAGGACCCCTCATATGGGAAGTCTCAGTGGCAACACTGTACCACCGGGTATCTATTACTACAGCACTTATAATGTAACTGTCTCCTTTGCTGCAAGGAGTCCTCAGCTACCTCCCCCTGACGTGCAAACACTCACAAACCTAGTAAAATGTACTTGAACCCCATGATGCAATACTGAATCTGCTCCTTCACTCTTTCCAGAGCTTTGTGCCCATCAACTTCTCTCTTACCGGAAGCATCAACTCACCAAGCCTATCAGAGCAGAGCCCCTCCCTGCCACGCAGAAATAATTTTATAGGCCTGGGTCTGGGAAGAAATGTCTTGCCTTGGAAAGATCAGGAACTCCATTTGGAATACTGTACTAGAGAGTCTGGGTTGTAGTCTAAAAACTCAGGAGTCTTTTTTCCTCCATAAGTTTAATAAATGCTATAGAACTGGCCGAATTGAAGGTGGGTGTTTGGCAATCTCCCAATCCTTTTTGTTGCTCCCTCCAGCTGCAGGGCAAATTTGGGAAGCCTGATTACCAAAAATTAGTAAAACACAGAAAATTGTATTCTCAGTGCCCACAAAGAAGAAAAAAGGAAACGTCTGCTTCTGCCCACATGGGGGTGTTTGCCTGCCCATTTCATATCCTCAACCCACTCACCACTGCCTATGACCCAAGAGAAAAGCCACACGTAGTCCGGATGTCTTATTAGTCTTATTCCATGAGAAAAGCTACTCACTGGAGAATCCTTCATGTTCTTAAAGGCCCTTTCTCTCTTCATAACTGGCAATCACGGGTTGTCGTTCTGGTGTAACCCACACTGGATTGACCAAGAGAAAAGCTCTTTTGTTCTACAATTCCTAAACCCATTGATCGGTGGTTGGCTTAATGTCAGAGGGGCAGAGCCACGAACCCTTTTCAAACTGTTCCAGGAAGAGTCTTGAGTTGCTTCAGATCTGAACTGACCTGAATCTCTGAAGATGTCACTTTCCAACTCAGCCAATGGTAGGACAGGAGGCCCAAGATGACCATCTTGAGAATTAAATTCCTGGGGGGGAAAGAAATAAAAGTACTGCCTAAGAAAAAAAAAAGTTTGCTTTCAGATCAGAGGAATCACCATCGTGTATCCTCTCTGCCCGCTTCTCTTGCCTCCCTCCAGTTGACACCCGGAGCAAGGAAGACCCCTTTTATCCCACATTGGTACAAGGAGGCAGAGTGTGGGCAGAACAAGAAGAGGGAAGCAGATTAAGCCCCAGGTGCCTCCTCTTTTCTAGCTACACAGTAAAAACAAAGGTACAATGAGCCGTGGGGGTGCAGTGGTAAGAGTGTAGTACTGCAGGCTACTTCTGCTGACCGGCTGCCAGCAGTTTGGCAGATCGAATCTCACCAGGCTCAAGGTTGACTCAGCCTTCCATCCTTCCGAGGTGGGGAAAATGAGAACCCAGATTGTTGGGGGCAATATCCTATCTCTGTAAACCACTTAGAGAGGGATGTAAAGTGGTATATAAGTCTAAGTGCTATTGCTATTGCTACAAATGGCTCCTTCTATTACAAAACTATGTATACCATGATTTAACTCATTTCTGCCAGCACAGCTCACTCCCACACCCCCACACCCCGGTCCTATCACGTGCTTCTGGCTGGACTGCATAAATTGTTTTATGGGGAATGGAAAAGAAAGGCATTGAGGGCTGGGCTCTTCCTGTGCAGTACTGCTGGTGGAAATGGCTTTCAAGTCCCCTTTATAAACAGTTAATAATATTGCAACAATGGGATGGGGTTGGGCCCCGTTGATCCTGCATTTCAGCTGTGAGATTTTTTTTATTACCTGCTAATGGCAATGTACACCTCCAGGACTGGAGATTCCTGTTTCTCCCATGCAGCCAGGAGGTTGTAAAAATACGGCATAAGCAAGTTAATGAGTGACACAACCAGAGGAAGGGCCAGGAGCAACAACTCTTTCCCAGCATGATTGTTTTTCAAAAACTCCTCATGCAGAACCTAAGGAGAAAATCATTCACGTGCATTTATATTCCACTTTTTCACTAGGAAACCAAGACAGCATAGAAAGAGATTTTCCTGATGCTATTATCCTTTATCTGCATCCCATCTTTATTATTTTTGCAAATAATAATGCAATGCAGCAGGAGTTGCATTGGCTGCCGATTTGCTTCCGGGTGCAATTCAAGGTACTTGTTATCACCTTTAAAGCCCTTCATGGCTTGGGACCAGGTTCAATTCAATTTCAATTTATTACATTTATATGCCGCCCTTTTCCCCCGAAAGGGGACTCAGGGCGGCTCACAACTCAACCCAGGGAAGGGGAATACAGACAAAAAATTTTAAAAAAAAAAACAAAGCATAACAATACATAATTTAAAACACACAACAGTCATACCATTCGAGACGGGGGCAACAGCTCTTTAGCCCCAGGCCTGTCGGAACAGCCAGGTTTTAAGGGCTTTGCAGAAGGCCTGGAGGGTGGTGAGGGTCCGAATCTCCACGGGGAGTTCGTTCCAGAGGGTCGGAGCAGCCACAGAGAAGGCTCTCCTCCGAGTGGTCGCCAGTCGACACTGGCCGGCGGATGGAATTCGGAGGAGGCCTAGTCTGTGGGATCTAATCGGTCTAGTGGAGGTAATTGGCAGCAGGCGGTCTCTCAAGTACCCAGGTCCAATACCATGAAGAGCTTTATAAGTGACGACTAGCGCCTTGAAGCGTATCCGGAGACCAATAGGCAGCCAGTGCAGCTCGCGGAGGATAGGTGTTACGTGGGTGAACCGAGGTACACCCACGATCGCTCGCGCGTTATCTGAAGGACCGTCTCTTGTGAGATCACATCTACTCGACCCGTCAGAACAGAGAGACAGGGAATGCTGCAGGTTCCATCCCCAAGGGAGATACACCTGGTGTGATCCAGAAGGAGGACCTTCTCCATTGTGGCTCCTCTCTGGAACATCATTCCCCCAGAGATTAGAATGGCCCCCACTCTAATGCTCTTCCAAAAGGCACTGAAGACCTGGTTCTGCCAGAGGGCCTGGGGAACCCAGAGGGGAATGGAGCCCATTAAATGGCTCCTGTGATCTGCTGTCGCTGGGCGGGTGGGGGTGATTTTATTATATTCATTTATCTGATTCTTTTAGATCAGTTTCATTGTTTTTTTAATGTGGTTTAAATTAAATAAGCTGCCTTGAGTCACCATGAGTGAATAGGCAGCAATATAAATTAAATAAATAAATAAACAACTCACTCACTCAAGACAGCAAATATATGCAACTCACTTTCTTCCTCCTAATTTTCCCACAACAACTCTGTGAGGTGAGTTGGGCTGAGAACGATTGATTGGCCCAAGATCACCTAGACCAGTGATGGCGAACCTTTTTTGGCTCGTATGCCAAAAGTGGGGGGAGAGCAGGGGGGTCGTGCACAGGTGTGTTACACCCATAATGCTTTGAGCACAACCCCAGCAAGCATGCGCGCACAACCAGCGCTCCCACCCATTTTTGTTGTGTTTTTTTCCCTCCCCAGGCTCCAGAGGCTTTATAGGAGCCAGGGGAGGATGTAAACAGCCTCCGCTGCCCCCCCAGAGACTCTCCAGAGGCTTCAGGAGTTTCCCTGAAGCCTCCGGAGTGCGAAAAACTGGCCCTACGGGCAAACCGGACCCTTACTACCCTTCCGGCCTTCCGTAAAGCAACTAAGACCTGGCTGTTCCGGCAGGCCTGGGGCTGTTGAAGTATCCAGCCCCACTTTAAGTTATGAATGTTGCTGTAATTTTAAATTGTTGTATTGTTTTATATATTCCCACTCCCTTTTTTATTGTAAGCCACCCGGAGTCTTCCGAGAGTGGGCGCCATACAAAACTAATAAATACAATACAAATACAAATACAAACCGGAAATTCGGGGATCGACTTCCGGTTTGTCCATAGGGCTGTTTTTTCATCCCCCGGAGCCTTCAGGGGCCTTCAGGAGACTTCCCTGAAGACTCCAGAGGGCAAAAAACAACCCTACGAGCAAACCGGAAGTCCATCCCCGAAATTTCGATTTGCCCGTGAGGCTGGTTGCTCATAGAGCTGGTTTTAACCCTCCGGAGTCTTCACGGAAGTCTCCTTAAGGCTCCGGAAAGCTAAAACCAGCCCTACGAGCAAACCAGAAGTATGTTCCTGAATTTTCAGTTCGCCCGTAGGGCTGGTTTTTCGCACTCTGAAGCCTTCAAGGAAGCCTCCAGAGGGCGAAAAATGGCCTCAAAAGGCCAAAATCAGCTAGTCAGTGCACACATATGGCTGGCCAGCTGACAGGGCAATGCCTCGCGTGTCCTGACAAATGGCTCCACGTGCCACCTGTGGCATGCATGCCATAGGCTCGCCACCACGGACCTAGATGGCTTTTATGGCTAAGGTGGCACTTGAACTCACAATCTCCTGCTTTCTAGCCTGGTGCCTTAACTATTAGACCAAACTAGCTTTCCCACAACCACACTGTAAGCAAATTTGGATAGGCTAAGACGATTGGCTCAATGTCACCCAATGAGCTCCATGATTGAGCAGAGACTTGACATATGGCTACCCTGGTCCAAGACCAACATCTTAATCAGTGCATCTTTCTGCCTGGCTGTTCAATGAATTAAATGCCCAAAGAATGCATGAAACCACTAAGAAAACCAGCCCATCCACATTCAGTGCAAATGGAACTGTTGGTATGGAACATGGAGAGTTTCCCTCAAACTGAGCTTTCGCTCAAGTTCCTATAGACAAGTTGGGCCACTGTAATTAGTTAGCAGTGTGTGTGCAATAATTCCATGGTGACTGAAGAACTACTGTTTGTTTGAAACAGACATCTTGGAAAAGGGGCTTCTTTCACTGCAGTTAAGATCGCAGAGGAGGGCCTGGAGGAACATTGTCCATGGGGTCACAATGGGTCGGACACGACTTCTCAACTAACAACAACAAAGATGGCTGATGGTAGCTCAATGCACTTGCCCCCAATTATATATCTGCTGAAAGTAAGAGTTTAATTGCATTCACAAGAATGGTTATTTTATAGAAGCCAGGCTGGTCATTATTGGTCACCACAATTGTTTATTTTTTATAGTTACATTTCCCATCAGACAAAGCAATCATGAAATGTTGTCTGTTTATGGTGGGAACAATAAAACAATGTGCCAGGAGAATGCAAGCTTGGGAAAGATCACTCTATTACCACCCTGACCTATGCTCTATTTGCATCAATTTATTTTTTTCATTGATGTATACATTAGCTTTTTAATCTGTCCAATAATAGCTTTCTGATCATAAACATTGTTATTAATTCTTTTCCTTTAATTCAATTGTGTCTTATTTTCAGAGACTGCATCGACAATCCTTGCAGATTTTTTTGGGCAAGTTTTTCTGATAGGTGCCTAGGGCAGTATATAAATGCATGAATCCAAGACTTACTGCAATTGGTATAAGTGCCCTGAGCCGTGACCCGTCAAAAGCGCGGACAGCAAAAGCGCGATCGACAAAATCGCGCCTTTGACGTCATCACAGCGCGACGAAAAAGATCGAAA